CAAAAATACGTTCATGAGCTCAAAAAGCAGAAAATATAATAAATAAGATGAAATTAATAAATGATGAACAACACTTACCACACGTTTTGGATTAAAGTACTAGATTAAAGAAGTATAATTACTTGCCCCTGTTGAAGCGCATTATTTAAAAATTTATTTTTTCTCAAATTCATTTTCAAGCACACTTTCACCCATAAAATTAATTTTACACGTAAATTCAAAACTTTTCTCAACTATTTAACTATACATTCTTTAAAAAATGTTTGACAATACAAATCTCAAGGCATCTGGCGTCTAAAGGATTTCAAATGGACTTTTCAAAATTACACCCATAGCCAACAAGATTGATTTGGACAGTCCAGTTGTCAGGGGCCATTATTTTTGGAACGAAGCTGCAGTGCCAGGGAGGGTGTAAAGTTGCATCTGATTTGACAGAAGGCAAACAAATAATTCACCATCTCTCTCCCTGAACCCTTTCCCCCTTAACCCTAGTTTTCGCTGGCTTTCTACCGGCGAGTGGCCTTGGGCCACTCGTCCTGTTTTCTCTAGGCTCCTCGGAGTCCTAGTTCTCTCTCCCCGTCTCTGGCGGTGGAGTTTTTCCCTCCCCGGCTTCGGTTGGTGGAGGTTCCCTCCCCGGCTTCGATCGGTGGAGGTTTTTGCCTCTCCGGCTATGGCCGGTTGAGGGCTTTGTTGTTGTGTTTTCTTTTCGTGTGCGTGGTCTGTTGTGGGTCTGTTGAGGTGGTGTGTTGATGGGTATTGGTTGGGTTGTGCTTCGGGAGGTGGTGGTTTAGGTGGTGGCAGGGTCTGGGAGGTTTGGTCTCTTTTGTTGTGATGGTGTTTCGATCGGTGGCAAGCTGGAGCTACTGGAGGTTTCGGGTTTGCTGTGGTTGGTCCAGGCTAGCTGAGCTCTGGTGGCATGGGTGGGCTGCGTTTTTTCGGTGGCAGAGGTGGTTGATGTTGGTTGGAGCGTCGGTTGGTGGAGGTTGGCTGCAGTAGGGCAAGGCTGAGAGACGACATTTTGCAGGAGGGTTTCCTCTCTTTGGGACTGTTGCTGATTTTGTGCCTAGTTTGGATCGATTGGTGGTGTTTTTTAGTCTGTTTGTTCTGTGTCTTGTGTTGTTTTCTGTTGTCATGTGGGGTCTGGCTCTCGAATTTTGCTAGCTTTCTCTCTTTTGAGAGGGGCCGAAGTTTAGACAATGCCCGTCCTTGTGCGGGGGTACTTTAGTGCTGATTGCTTTAGTTGACTTATTGTCGGGTTTACCTGTATGTTTAAGTCACAACTGTAACTTCATTGTATTCTGGATT